AGACAATTGTCAATAGTGAGGAGGAACATAAAAACATATAGGTCCTGATAGGTTTTGATTTTACTTCCATTCAATGTGAAAACCCGAACCCCATCAAGTAATTAAATCGATTAGTCATTTACTTCAACGTATATGTATGGAAAATGACTTGCGGTCTCTACAGTAAAAACCAGTAACGTATTTTTGGCCACAGACTTTACATGAAACTAGTTTGGAGTGATCTTAAAGTTGTTATGTGCGCATAACGTGGTCGAATTCACAACGGTTTATTTACTGCTGTTAATAATGATACTCATACAAAAACCAATATATTAAAATTTCGAACCATATTTTTGTCAAGTGTTTACTTCCTGATGACTACAATTAAAATCATCTACATAGTAGCAAGCATATTTGGATATTTTTAACTTAAATGAAGATGACAAAATTCACATAAAGTACATTATGACAACTTTGATAGTTTAGTGTATTGAAGCAAATATCCTCAATAGCTGGTTCGCCTAACAAAATAGTAACAAAATAGTTAAGTCTACCTATCCGTGATAACTTATGCTACAAAGTAACACTTGAATTTTGTGCTCTAAGTTCAACCATCGGTAAAATAAGCTGTAACAATAACAGTTCAAATAATACATATTGTGGTGTAACGATGTGTCTTGTAATCAGAATTTTCAATATTGAATAAAGTATGTGCATGCTCATTGACATGAATTGCAGTTTGATTTAGTTACTAATATCCCCTTTCAGTGTTTCGCTAGCGCAACTATACAGATGTAGAAGGGAGACTGGTGTATTTACCGAATTAATAGTAAAACTAATATGTAACAAAATCAGAGTAGCACAAGCATTGAATGTGAATTCGTGATCTTTGTTAAGTTAATAATTCAGTTACTGTTTAAGGCAATACTATGAAATTAAATTCTGTAATTAATAAAGCTAAGGAAAAGACAGGTTTATAGTTGCTACCATTTAGAGTAAGAGGAATCTGTGACTGATAATGTAGATTTTATTGACAAAATATTCATGCAAAACCACAATTTTTGTGATCGACTAGAGAAATTCTCATTATGGACATAAATACAAAGTATCTTATAAAAGATTTTCACTTTATATTCAGTTCGAACAAAACTAATGAACATCTTTGTCATTTAAAATCATTGATGAATAAACTATTAGCGAACACACACACACCTTATAAACATTCTGAATATATATATATATCCATTTCAGCTGTAAATACATATTCTTAAAAGATAACTTTAAAATCAAGTGGTACTTCTAAAAACAGATAAGTGGATAGACACAAGTATTATGTTCCCAGAAATTAGTATCAACACTTTTATTGATTGATTCGCATTCATACATAAATAATAAAAGTTGTTTTTCTGAATTATTTATAGAGCTGTATTATAATTTCTCTTATTACGATCCAGCCATTCCTATTTCTTAATATTCCTGAACACCAATCAACTTGACAAGTCCCAAATCAGAACACAGTTGAACAGGAACGAAATTATATTCCAAATAACAAAGGTAGATGAGAATAAGAACCAAAATACGAAAAACGTTAGTATATTTAGTGTTTACATGAAAAGATTTTGGAGTCTTCTCCAAGCATCCACCGGCGCTGATTAGATAAGAAATGACCAACTAGCGTTCACCAACACAGTCGTGCACGGAACGTGCTTCAATCCATTCTACATTCTGCTAAACCCCCTTTGGGCAGATTCGTAGGATCTGGTGCTAGAGTCCAACTGAAACCACGTGACTGGCCTGTGCTTTTGATTTGTTTATCGTCTAGGTAATAAAGAAGTGGTATCACCCTCTGCATGCACAGAAATTAGCCTGTTTGTTCTAGGGGTTTTGATTTCAAAGGTGTTTAGCAGAACGTCAAGAGGTATTCTATATCCAGTCTCGCCTGTGGCTATCAAAGTTGCTTTCAATTGGTTAGCATGATGCGCACAAACTTCTGAGCCAACTGACACCTCATAAACTACATTCTCTTTCTTTTGTACGATCCAACTAGCTAACCATGTAGGATATTTTCTACGATAGTCCATAGCAAGTACTCTTTGACCCACCGTGAACAATCGTCTTTGTGCCCCATGATGTCAATTGAACTGCTTCTCCATCAATACGTTTCGTTGAGACTCAAGAACTGGCGTCGGACGGATGACATCGAGATGTGTTCGTAATTTTTCTGTCAAGTAGAGCTTCTGCTGAAGAGACCCCATTAATCAACTGAGGGTTTGGTGTAGAGCGACAAATAAGCAGAAACCTCTCTAAGATCTCTTCGGTGGTCCCCTCCCACTTCGATTTTTCAGAACATTTTAAAATGTACCAAGTAAGCGTTCCACTTTATCAGTGGACTGGGGATGAAATGGAGGTGTTCGGATATGATTGATTCCGTTCTGCTGACAAAATTCTGAGAAGATAGAGGACGTAAACTGTGTACCATTGCCTCTAACTATCAGTTCTAGAACCCCGAAACGACTGAATAGTTGACGTAGTTTTCTGACTGTGCAGCATGCAGTTGGATGTCTCATGAAAACAACTTCTAACCACCTGCTTATACATCAACTACTAGAAGTTAAGTTTGTCCATGAAATGGACCAGCAAGATCCAAATTTATACACTGACACAGAAACCTTGCACCTGTCTGTTTTGCAAGTAAAGGAATGTCAAATGATGATGCTTATTAATCCTTAGCTTATTAGAGCAGTATGTCTCTAAAGCAAAACATTGTTATTTCGTTTTTCCCAGATAATTCGAAGTTTACCTGTAATTTATGATGAATTTAAGTTAATGTTTAAAATTTCGTTAATGTTATTAATTTTATTGAGGGTGTTTATTGTAACGTGGAGTACTATTATGATGATTAGGAGTATTTGAATTATAGTATGAACTAAGAATCCCAGAAATAAGGTAATCGGATCAAGAAGTACTAAATAAGCACAAACGAATGTACTGTATTTGGAATTCGAAATCAAGCATTCAACAAGTACAAAGGATTTATTAATTTATTCAAACACCACAATTATATTCGGGAATTGGTTGAAAATTATGGTCTAAGAATCACCAATGAGATTATACAACAATCTTTGGTTAGACGGTACTTTCATGTCAATGAACTCACTTCACGGATGATTTAAGATGGAGAGCATTACTAAAATATAGTAAAATGACTAACCAATTAGTATAACATATGGTGACTAATTTGGATTGATGTGCTTTGAAATTACATATATACAACCTACTATTATTAACACTAGGACCCATTTTTAAACGCGTTTAGTGGTTTGAAAAGTCTATATTCGTACACCAATGCGAAATTCTCCTAACCGTATATATTATTAAAACGAAACCCACTTCGCTCTGCATTTTTCCACACTGTATATATCAACAAGACATCCCTTAATCTCTTTTTATTCATTGTGTAGTGACCTACTTTTACCAAGAGAACGCGATTGGTGTAATGGAAACAATTATTATTATAACCAATTGTACCAGGGATTGTTTTACCGTACTTGTTTGTTTAACTGTACCAAAATACACACATTCTTCCCTTGCTTGTGACCTTGCACGAATTCTGTTACGCTCAGTAACCACACTTGTAACCTGGCTCGATCTCGGTATTCTTTCGATACCACGAGATCGCCAACAACTACATCTCGATTACAGCCATCAACTGCCTTCTGATATTTGGTCTACGGGGGATTTCATCGGTTAACTGACACGTAGTCTTCCTGTATTGGTGATCATAGTCAACCGCGACTCGACACCACACTACAAGTGAATGCAAGTATAACTGCTCTATTATGTCCTAACTTGTATATTACAGGAATTTGGAAAAACATGAAATCCAAATGACATAATTATTTTACATGACTTATATAATATTTTACTTAGTACTGTAGATTTATTTAGTTCTAATAACTTTGAAATACTTTTTAATTAGAGTTATCTGTTTATTCGCAGGTAAAAAAACTATCTGTAAATCTGATATATATATTAGTTGTTTGAATATTTCCAGTTGTTTAGGACTGCAGTTAATCAGTCTTATTTTTGGCATATATGCATTCTATGAGAATTGCCTCGATATTTCCATTAATTCACAAGCATTTCAAGCAGAGATGGAGCCAGAGATGCACGTTTCGTTCAATTTTAGATTCAATAGCTAAGTGGATAACGCGTTATCGTTTGAAGCGAAAGGTACTGGTTCCAGAGTGAACATCAACTATGGAATGCAAGTACATCTAACTGACGAGTCTCAAACAGGGCGGAACACATTTCCTAAATTCCACTGATGGCAACGATCCATCTATGTTCAAATATCTATAAATTTGTCTAGCTTGTATACTACTGCCACACATAAATAAGAACTTTCGTTTAAATTTGAACGAATAGTTTCACAATATTTGGGCGCCGAGTTAATTTGAGACATTAAAAAGAAGAATATATTTGTAAAATCTCAGCGAATGAATTTTAAGTAAATTCAACGTTTCGCCTGGCAATCTGGTCCAAGCTTTTTCAAGGAAAATATAATCAAACAACAAAATTGTCGAATATAAATAGGTACATGGTTCTTCGGTTTACTGTACACTGAATAAGTCAACCAATCGACGTGAAGGATTTCTTTATAGATAGGTATTTGTATTAATGTGTAAGAGACATGTTTATATGAAAAATAATAAAGGTCAAACAAATAAAATAAAAGTTCATTTGAAAATAATCACACATGTTTCGAAAAATGATTGTTAACCTGTCCTATTCTATTTGGATTACTTTATAATAACAATATCCTTTTCCTAAACTTCGAAACATCCCAGAATGCCATGAATGATTGAAATGATTATTATTTCAATTCGATTACCCCACTACAAGGCTACTTTTGCATACATATACATCGTCTTAATATGTGGATAAATTATTTTCCAGATACCTTGAAGGAATTCCGTACCTTATTACTATTATTATTGATAGACATAAAATAGCGTGAGTACTACAAGATGCTTTATATTTTATAGATTGTATTAATGTATACATAAATGTTGACGAAATTGATTCAAAATTACTGTGGGGAATGTTGGATTTTAATAAGGTTGATTACAAACTAACTGACCTTTTCAATATCAATCATCTTGACTTTTACCTGCTAAAAAAGGTTAAAAAATAGTGATTGGACATAGATATTTGTGAATACTAAGTTTATAGCAGTTAAATTTGTTTAAGAGGAAACTAAGATAAACATGGTAACTTAAAACAATTAGTCCCTTTGATAAATTTCGATAATGTGATAAGAAGACGAAGATTATCGGAACTATGTTATATATTAGCGCAATACATAGTTCCGATAATCTTCGTCTTCTTATTACATTATCGAAACATGGTAACATTTCAAACTTAGTCACACTGGTTTTTGTAAAACATAGATTAACAATTGGAACCTTGAAGTGATCTGATTATATTCACATTTGTCTAATATTCTGATTTGTATTTTTATTTGAGTAGTTAATTTCTTTCTAGCTCTCTCATAACCGCAAGTGTTATAAACACTTTCTTTGGTCAGTCATAACAAAGTCCCAGTGCACATTGCAATGTAATGAGGTTTTCTTCCCGTAACTTCAATTACTTTAAATACTTGCGAAATTCTAAAATGACTGAGTGATATTGAGCTTCGGAAAACAAAAGATGAGAGCATAACGCTGTTATGACTTACACCCTGTCACTTATCGCGTGAAAAAGTCGCCAATCGGTTTATAGACTCCTGTGACCTCGTCCCTGTGCTTAACTAATAAAACATCAACCAGCATTAGCAGTCTTGAGTTAACTCTGAGTCCTTACTAGTCCTCTGTATAGTAACTTCTCAACTAGCCCATCCAATCCAAACATAAATATCAGCCTCCGCTATATGAATCGTATATTTTAGATATACGTGGTTTATACACAACCAGATCAAGCAGAGTCACATCATAAAATGGAAAACAATAATCGTACATGACCAAGCCAAAGGTAGCTATGAGTACAGGAGACTGTAATAGATTAGGAATGGTAAATCATAGAACAGTAGTCAATAGATCACATGAAAGCTTATGATAGAAGGAATACGAATATGTATAACCTAATTACTTAACAATTATTCAATGAGAATATATGTAATAATAGTCCATAAGTAATTCCTAGCATCTACCATCCATCTATTCTTCGTTCGGATGTAGCAAACACAGTTGGAATTCCTCATTATATATCCTTATTTCTAGATTATATGACATTTAGGTTTCTATTTAGTTAATTATTTCGATGGCTTTTTTTCATTTTATACAGACCAACTGTTTACGCTGACAGACTTATATCTCCTCTTGTTCTATTGATTTCTCGAGTCTTTATATTGTCTGATTACACAACAGAGAATGCCGACCCCGATAACAGTACAATCTTAGGATATGAAAATCCCCGAGTATCAGAGGCGAAGTAAATTAGCATATGCTTTTTAGTTCAGTTGACAACAATGATAAGCAAATGTACTTTAACTTCGAGCAAATCAACACACCGTTCAGTTGTAATACCTTATATATGAAACTAACCATTGATTTCCTTTTCTTCAAATAGATATCATGACAAAAAAAGTAAATATTCATCACCTGAAGAGAATGTACTTCCTGAGACAACGCCGTGGTAACTACTAATCCTTAGTTATGCCTGTTACTCCCAATGGAGCATAGGCCGCTGACCAGCATTCTCCAACCCACTCTGTCCTCCACCTTCTTTTCTAGTTCCATCCAATTCTTGTTCATTTTTCTCATGTCTATCTCCATTTCCCGGCGTAGTGTGTTCTTTGGTCCTCCTCTTTTCCTTCGACCTTCAGGATTCCATGTGAGGGCTTGTCTTGTGATGCAGTTAAGTGCTTTCCTCAATGTGTGTCCTATCCACTTCCAGCGTTTCTTCCTGATTTCTTCCTCCCCTGGGATCTGGTTTGTTCTCTCCCACAGTACGTTGTTGCTAATAGTGTCCGGCCAATGGATCTGAAGTATTTTGCGTAGACAATTGTTAATAAACACCTGTATTTTCTGGATGATGGCTTTTGTAGTTCTCCAGGTTTCTGCCCCATACAGTAGAACTGTCTTGACATTTGTATTGAAAATCCTGACCTTAGTGTTGGTTGCCAATTTTTTTTAGTCGCAGATGTCCTTCAGTTGTAAATATGCTGCTCTTGCTTTACCGATCCGCGCCATCACATCTGCATCAGATCCACCCTGTTCGTCAATGATGCTGCCCAAATACGTAAAGGTTTTTACATCTTCCAAATCTTCTCCGTCAATTGTGAATGGATTGGTGCATGCTGTGTTGTATCGGAGAATCCTGCTTTTCCCTTTGTGTATATTGAGACCTACTGCTGCTGAGGCTGTTGCCACACTGTTCGTCTTCTCCTGCATCTGTTGTTGCGTTTGGGATAAAAGGGCCAGATCATCTGCGAAGTCTAGATCATCCAACTGCATCTTAGATGTCCATTGTATCCCGCGCTTCCCTTCAGACGTTGACGTCTTCATGATCCAGTCGATCACCAGCAGAAAGAGGAAGGGTGAGAGTAAGCAACCTTGCCTAACACCGGTCTTCACTTCGAACGACTTTGTCAACTGTCCTCCATGCACAATTTTGCAGTACAATCCATCATATGAGTTCTGTATGATATTGACTATCTTCTGAGGCACGCCGTAGTGTCGAAGAAGTTTCCATAGTGTTGTTCTGTCCACGCTATCAAATGCCTTTTCGTAGTCAATGAAGTTGATGTAGAGTGATGAATTTCATTCAAATGATTGTTCCACAATGATCCGTAGAGTTGCGATTCGGTCTGTACACGATCTATCCTTACGGAATCCTGCCTGTTGGTCACGAAGTTGGGCGTCTACACAGTCCTTCATCCTGTTTAACAATACCCTGTTGAAGACTTTTCCCGGTATTGAGAGAAGAGTGATGCCCCTGTAGTTATCACACTTGCTGAGATCGCCTTTCTTCGGTATTTTGATCAGAAGTCCTTCTTTCCAGTCTTTTGGTACTTGTTCCTCATCCCAAATCTTATTGAAGAGAATGTGGAGTATCCTTGCAGTTGCCGCTACGTCTACTTTTATTGCCTCTGCTGGAATGTTGTCTGGTCCTGCTGCTTTGCCACTCTTGATTTGTCTGATAGCCATGCTGATTTCTTCAATTGTTGGTGGGCCAACATTGATTGGGAGGTCCCTGGGTGCTGCTTCGATGTTGGGTGGGTTCAGTGGAGCTGGTCGATTCAAGAGTTCTTTGAAGTGTTCTACCCACCTGTCTTGTTGCTCTTCAATGTTGGTGATTATCTCGCCTTCCTTGCTTTTCACTGGTCGTTCTGGTTTGCGGCGATTTCCAGAGAGTTTCTTTGTCGTGTCAAACAATTGTCTCATGTTTTCTTCTCTTGCAGCCTTTTCCGCCGTCGTTGCTAAATCTTCCACATATTTACGTTTGTCAGTTCTGATGCTCCTCTTCACTTGTTTGTTTATTTCCGTGTATTCAGCTTGTGCCTTGGCTTTTTCTGCTCTTGTTCGGCTGGTATTGATCGCTGCCTTCTTGTTCCTCCTTTCTAGAATCTTATCCAGTGTACCAACAGTGATCCATTCCTTGTGGTGGTGCTTCTTGTGACCCAGGACCTCATGACATGTTGAAGTGACTGCCTCTTTGATCCCCTTCCAGTTGCTCTCCACAGTAGTTCCTTCTCCATTGAGTAGATCATGAAAGGCCTGGAACTTGTTGCTGAGGTCTATCTTGAATTTGTTGAGTTTGTTAGTATCCTGAAGAAAAGCCGTATTGAACTTTTGTGATATTGTCCGCCCCATTGTCCAGTGCTTCTTGAGTTTCAATTTCATCTTGGCGACCAGCAAGTGATGATCTGATGCTATATCAGCTCCTCTCTTGGTTCTCACGTCCTCTATAGTCCTCCTGAACGCTTTGTTGATGCAAATATGGTCGATTTAGTTTTGTGTAGAGTGATCCGGTGAAGTCCTAACTACTAATCCATAATGCTGAAATTCTGATATTAGGTAAGCACGTAAGGAGCTTAAAGAGTGTAGTGTTGGCTGCTATGTCAAGCACATACAGTTTATCCTAGCTTTCGGACAGACCAGTTTATTCATTTTCTCGAGTCATATTTTGATCTTGCTGATTATTCGCTAATCAATCTTGGTTGTTTTTATGTGAGCGTGTGTGTGCATTTCTTATCTTACTCATCACATGTCTATAGCCTATTTTTGTCTGACCATAAATATCGATTCATGCTTAATTCAATGGAGCTGGCTCACTCGCCTCCTTCAGTAAGTGTCATTTAGTTTCACTTCTCTCTCTCTCCTATTTGCTCCATCTCCTTGTCTGTTCCGATCAATGATTGTACGAAACATATGCATTCAAAGAATCCATTCTCGTATTTGACTTATTTAGTCCCATTATTCACCAACGCGATTTAAGTCGATAATTATATACGAAAATTGACATGTATACTTCAATAACGATCATTCGTCCGACCTACCTGGAGTTAGATATACGGCCACAAAAACAGTAGTCAGAGCGGAGATTTATAAACAAATAGTAAGCGGTGAAACCATCTGAATTACTGGGTTAGCGCTTACGTATACTATAGTTAGCTAGCATAACTACTGAGACTAGAAGGGAAATGTTTACCTTATTACACCTAAGTCTGGTCTGTCAAACTAAAGGTCTTCCTCTATGTCAAGATTGACAAAAATCAGCACTTGGCCCGCTTGTTATTGTAGTAACTCAACTCTTGTTACTGGTTTTTCACACCCCTAATTATTTCAAATTTCTCAAGGATGTATATGTTGACTTTTAGCCACCTAGCCCAAATCAATTTTATTTGGTACTATATATACGGTAATGCTTAGTCATGTAGTCATTCTTTGTTCAAGTCATGAAATCTCCCCTGATTTCTGGTTTTCCCTTCAATGGGTTGTCGACATTGATGTATTGCTGTGGTTTATTTATCTGGTCTATCTAGTTCGCGCAGATTCCATCCGTATTAGGAGTATCCCTTAATCGTTCTTACTTATAGAATAATCCTATATACTTCTCAATTTGTGAAACCATACAAACTATTAGTACTTAGTCTTTTGTTCAAGTTTTTGA